TTAATAAACATTATTATTTTTTTGTTCGTGGGTAGTCTTTGGAACGTCTGAACTGTTTGTAATGAAACTTTCACTGGATTATAGAGGACTTTCTAAGGTAATATTTAAGTGATAACTTACCAACGAAATATGAGGTCCAATTTTAACTTTCTACTTCTGATCATATTAATATACCAGAATGAAAACCTAAATTATAATGAAATCGAAGAAAGTCGTGGGAATAAAGCTAGTTTTATTTTAAATATTCGTATTACGTATAGAAAACATATTCAGAAGTTGAAATCAGTTACACACGTTTAACGCTACTATAAAATGTGTGTACCATCTACAGACAGACGGTAACATGCTTCTCCAAACTGATGTTACGATAGCGAAGGCGGCTAACACTATTCCTTTGTTTATTGACCATTGTGAGATCCACTGATGGTTGAATAGAATGGAGCCATATACAATAGCATCATCTCGTATAGCTCCTTGAGATAGCGCCCATGGGCTGTTCTTATCGGGAACTATCCTGATGTAAAGGGGAATATATTTCAATAACGTTATACTTACCACAGTGCTAATAAAAGCAACTTCAGAATAATCGAATCCACATGATATAAAAGGCTTAAGTACTTTTTTCCCCGTCCTCCGATAAAACGTTAACGCTGAGTATGTTTGCTCGAAGCTCGACCTGAATAAAGATTACCGAAGGGGAAAGTCTCTTTGCGGCTACTCATCTTTCGCCTACACGATAGTAATTTTGTGGTAAAATATTTAAACGGCTCATAATCAGCCCTTTATGTTATTACATTTATGCACGGAAAGGGTATAATTGTGAAGTCATTGCTCATTGATAATACAAAAACGATTAACCAGTAAATGATATGGCTGTTACTTTAACAATGACAAGCGTTTAACCTATTTTGTTGTTTTTTTTCTTTTATTGCTTTTTAATTTACTTTCATATCCATTTTTGCAAACAGATACTTAAGTAGGTATTTTAGTTGAAACATTCTATCAAATTTAATTTACATTTGTTATGCGAAATGTAACAGTTAATACGATGTTTAAGTGCTACACTAATCAAATTATCACAGAGCGAAGTGTCTAGTCTTCCTTATAATGCAAATAGAAACTGACAACTGACAAGTTCTAAGTGAATTACGTTAGGTCCAATCATTGTGTTGTGACTTCTACCAAATCAAGTTTAGGGAGAAATGTATCCAAATTATAAGTATATTATATTTGAAATATGAACAAGATGAGAGATGTCTTTATATAACATAGATGCCGGAACGATTTCTGACAAATTTCGAAACGAAAGTCGCTATTACGTAATGCATTTATTATTTTCCACTAAATTCATGTACTTACAAGTGTTAAATAATAGACTAGGATAAATCATCTCAAGGAACTGGGGTTGGAATGTTGCCAGTTCAAGATAATAAGGCTGCACAAAGATCGTGCTAGAAAATATCTTATCTCCAATATTTTTGTCACACGTATTGGAAGGTCTCATTTTATGGGCTACTATAAGAAAATAAATACAGATTTTTATTTTTATTTTATCTTCAGATTCTTAAAAGGTTCCTTCCGAATCTAGAGACGAAAAATCTTAACGTCTTTGGCCTATTAAAACGGTAATTCTTTCAATCTGGACTCCTGCGTATGGATGTTGAGAGCATTTTTGAATACATGCAAGAGTGTGTATAAAAGCCATGATGTTTAATTCAATTTAAGTTTAAAGTGCCACACGATATGCAAAAGGGGATGCTCGAGTTATCCCTAACTGACAAAGTTTCAATGGAATTAATTTACCGGAGAACTTATATAAAGTGTCAAATTGATATATTTTATGTTACGAAATTTGTTTAGCTGTGTGATCAGAAATAGAAAAGTAAAAAGACGAGGTGACTTTAAGATGAACGATAGGAGAAGAATTATTCGTAAGAGAAAGAAAAGTAGTCGTGAAAAAGATTCATTGCATGGGTCATGACTATATCCCAAATTGTTACGACCTTTAACTTTCTATTCCCTTGGGAAAGTTGTGCATTTTGTTCTTCCATAAAAGATTTAAGTTAAACTCCATTAAATACATGTAAAATATCGCAGTATCATTTGTGATTTAAAATATTTACAAGAAATTAACCGTCTAGAGGCTCGCAAGTGACATGACACAAATTGGTATCCTCTATTTATAGACGGACATGTTACAAGAACAGTCAATATGCAAAACAATGTATTATTCAGGGACGAATGTGTCTATTAATTAGCGAGTGGTCATTAAAGTCATGTTCAAAGCGAGGCGTGTCTGTGCAACGTCCATCAGAATGATTGTTTCTATATAATGGACTCGTATTAAGCTTTTGCCTAGTGATAGATGACATGAGACAGCGTTTTGGTAGCATTAAAGCCATCAAATATAATAAATCGAAATTAACCAAGTATTGACAGTGAAATATTATAATGACACGATGTAATTAATAATTAATTCATAATTAATACTGTTGATTTATGTATACAAATTAACATATTATCACAATTAGCCTTAAATGAAACAAAGTTGATCCATATTCACGTAATTATTTTAATTTTTAGCTTGTTCATTTTGACGTGTAATATTATATTCTCAGTGATACATAATGTCTGTTTAACGGTTCGATGTAACATTACATACGATGTACTTACATAAACTTATCTATTACGGAACGGTAAATGTATTGGAGTTGGTTAAACTTAACCGGGTATAATCATTAAGTTAATACGTTATTATTTTACTGTATCAAATCTTAACTGTAAAAAGTTGTTACTAATGATATATGTAGATTTTTATTCCAACCTCAAATTATAGGTGGACTAAATTTAATCGTACATCTTAATTTCTAATTTTCCAGTAATATCTTGTTAATAAAGAATTTGCATAAAATTTCTCGCTAACTCATGGCTATGTGTCAACACTGATTTTATAAACGGATGTCACAATTACTAAAGTGTTACGGGGACGAGGCTATGCTTTATGAATTACTGGTTCTGGCGGTAAAGATAACAATGTGTTATTACATCACCAGTTAAACATACATATAATCTTTCGTCTTCATAAAATAATGTTCAAAGTATAAATTATTTACATTCAAAGAAACGCCGTTCATAGATTTAAAATGAGCAAAGTTATTTAAAAGAAACTTTCTCATAATGAATTGTTGTTAAATATAAAAATTTATTGTTGTTGTAAATTCTTGAAATTTTTTAATGAGTAAATATTTTTTCTTTTGCAATGTGAAAGCTGCTATGCGAGCGGAATGGAAGCCCTGTTAACACGGTCCGGATGATTTTAAAACCTTATTTTAAATATCATAAGAAATGTTTTCGCATTAACATAGCCACAAAGCTTTTGAATCTTACTGCAATATTTTTAATTCTTTTACTTTTGTACGTTGCCGGATGAAAAAGCATTTCCTCTTTCTTTAAATTATCGCGTTTCGTTCATCGAACCCAGCGGCCAGCGGTATCATAAGGTTTCGTAACTGGGGAACCCTTATAAGTGTTTATTCATAAATATAATGTTTTAAGCATCTTAGAATGTTGTTTTTGTCTAGACGACTCTTAAAAAAATAGTTTTTGATATGTAACGCCTCAACAAAGTTTTTGTATAATCTTTCATGTTATAATTAAATACTTCGATCAAATGCCTTTGAATATGTAACTATTATAAATAGTTGCTGTTTTTTTTTATTGAACAATATTTATCAACCTGATTCATATTGTAATGAAATTATTCTTCTTATTATAAGATTTATAACACCTTTTCTTTTATAATTATTATTCCAAAACGTTTTATGTTATAAACTTTAAAAAAATATTATAAATTTAAATTAAACAACATTATACATGAAGTAGGCGTTAGATGTACATTTACGGTCGGTGTAATGCAATTGTCACAAGTATTTATCGTTTAGTTGTAGACAATCAGGCGATTTTCATATTTATAGATGCAAAAACACTCCGGACACCGCTTTTAAATTACTTGTTTTGTTGTGCGGCAAAATAACATTGTTAGCATAAGTAAGTAATTTGAAGGAGTGGAGGCGTAAACGTGTGTTGACCACAATAGCGTTAAAGTGAGCTCGCAATCGAAAACTGCAGGCAGAGTTTACGGCAGCTATGTCTGTACACAGTAGGTACACAGGCAGCTGTGTCAGCCGATGCATGGGGCAATTTGTGTGTGCAGCGATGCACAGTGCGCGCCCATCCGTAATGGATGACGGACGCAATCACACCTCCAACAACACATCTGTGTTCTGCTATAGAACAAAACTGTGTGAGGTTTATTGCAATATATGAATGTATAGAGCGCGTCCGTTTAATGCGATCACATGATAAACGATTATAATATCGAGTATGACAAAAGAGAATATCACTATTCATATATTTTATATGATGTTTCTATTTTTTATTTGCAAGCAATGTCAATAGAGTTTCCTGTCCATAGATAAAAACGGGAATCACGCAATCTATCTTTAATATAAATACATATTTAGATGTTTAACTACATGATAATTATATGTATATCATTCAAAGTTTTACTATGAGATTTTAATATGAAAATAATTTCTATTTGTAATAGTCACGTATGTTATGACAACGTTGTAACTAACCTTTTGGTTATGCAAATGCGTCATGTAAAATAAAACAGTCGAAGCGTGTATTCTGAGAATAATGGGTTTCACTGCGATCTGTTCCTTTGTGAACAGCTTTTGTAACTAAATTAAACAAACTGACCGTCCAATAATTATTGAGTTGAAACTTTCATTATTGTTGCTCGCAATAAGTTGATATTCATTTCGAATCGTGTGTAAAATTAATTATTAATATTTATGTTCATAATTATGTATAATAATTTTATATTTTCGATACATTCATTAAATGTACCGTTTTTATTTTAAATGTAATAATTATTTTCTCTTACTTTATATCTTCCAGTTTCTTAGATATATTTGGTATGTTTTTTTATCCAGGTATCGAGTAAGCCTTACCAAGTGGCTGCAGGCGCTGAGCTGACGAAGCTTTGCAATCATAAGCGGAAACTTCTGGCCTCCCTGCAGTCGAGGGTCCAAAGTCCAGTTACTCCGCCACCGGCCATCGATCAGAAGAAAGGTATGATAGTTTATACTTGATAAAAAAAGTTGAATTACTCTTAGTAAACTGTACTACATAGGATCAGGTTGAGGTTTTGAAAATGTACTGTATTACTTTTTTATTGACATTAAATTTTTATAAGGAATTTTTTGTACCTTTAGTTGCAAGCTTGCTTCTTGAACATATAATTGACAATTTCAATAAGTCTATTTTCTTTATTAGTCGTGGATACGAATATATTTGTTAATAGAAGTAAAAACTGTAGGTGTTTAAGTAGAAGTTGGAAACTCGTATTAGGTGTACGAGTTTTATAATTCCACTTATGGTAATTTTTATTGCCATTTACAACCGCATATTTCGCTACGTTCTTCAATTCACTGAATTTGGTAATAAAATTAATTTGCATATGCACACACCGTACGGCTTCTTTAAAGTTCGGCTTACTTGTTCAAAAGAGTTTGTTTTGCAGGTTGCAGTTAAACATTTTTTTTGGGAATTTTTTTACTGTCTCGTTGAAGTTTATAAAGTCTATAAATATGTACATTATGCAGTGACGGTGTTGTTGTAGAAAGAATTTTTGTGGAATTTTTATTTTAACCTAGTATGTTATTCTATGTAGATGATAATAATATATTGGTCTGAATATCATCACTCACTTTCAATTTTAAATTATCGGTAAAATTAAAAACCTTTATGTTATTAGACAATAGGCTAGACAGCCGATTCATAGATTAAGGAGCTTGCAGACGAAATGTTATGAGATGAACCAGTGCGTACTAAGAACTGTGAACTTTCGTAATTTTTATCTTCATATCGCCAGAATCGTCCGTTTAACTATTAGCTAATTAAATCGTCTTCAAACGATTTTATTCAGCGTTAATATTCCCCAGCGTTGACTAATTACATGTGTAATTAATTATTGCATAATCGTCCTATCTTACCATTTTTCAAATTTAAACTATTACATGTATACACAGATTAGATTTAAGGTCGAATACACACTATGGTGCAAAATATTTGTTGTCATAAGTTAGCTTTCAACATAAACGCGGGTGAGAGCGTGCAGTGTAAATATTTACCAGCTAACGTACGTGTAGCCGTTGCCGACTTTACTATGTGAACATTATTATCCTCTTAGCGGACGTTCACGGTACTATCTTCCTCTCATCCAATTACTGGAGTGTGAACCCGATGGGATTAGCGCCACGGTAACAACACGAATACATCCGATAATATTTGAACAGTATACTGAATGCAACTTTTGTAAGACTTTATTTACCGTACAAATACAGAGTATTATTAGACGAATAATTTTTATACTCTTTGTAAATCTGTTAAACGCGTTAAATCATAATAAAACATTTCTCCACATATAAAAAGTATCAGGTAAAAACAATCACGTTAAAACCATTGATAGATGTCGGCGTATAGAAATATAAATAAAAAAAAGCATTTATTTGCGTTACATAGAACGAACGCAATCCGACACTCAATTAGTCTTTGATTTGTTTATCCGTGTTCATTGATACTGAAACGTGTTCCACGCATTACCGGTGTTTCCTGCAACAAAGCCTCCCCTTTGCTACCACCCTTCATATAATTTTTATACTGAGCGGAAAGAGTACAGAAAAAATATATTCGAAGATATTGAATTAATGCTTTTCCAATGTGTACTTGTTAAATTTACTAGAATCTTTTAAATATAATGTTCTGTTTCACTTAATCTAAACTCTGATTCAATTCAAAATAATATTGAGTTGTTTGATAGACGTTTTAATCTTAAATAACATTATTTGAAATTGAAACCCGATATTTAAATTTGAAGTGAATTGAATAAACGTTTCCCTATCTAAGGGAATGTCTTTTAAATATCCTCATAATTGAAAATAACAAGGGTAGCTAAAAGTAATGGAACAAATTGCTTTGGTGAGTGTGGCCGAGGATTTCCTAGCTTGATTTGTCTGTGGATAACACTGGGGTTCTAATAATTGTTTTATTCCTTTGTTGTAAAGTTATAATGGAATTAACTTGCAACATAATATTACTTATAATATTATTAAGCTGCGTTGTGTTTGTACCAGACGCGGTGTACGATCTGTTGGTTAATAATAATCCTTTTGTGGCATGAACTTCATACAATGAAGGGTTATCGTTTATAAATTGCACAGTGAATTAAATTTAATTGCAATGTTTTGCAACTAATTGGATGTTGTAATATTTATATGTTGCATTGTTAATTTAAAACTAATTGAACCTATAGTTGGTAGTTTGTAAGTGATAATAAACAAAGAATGTAACCTATATTGTTTTATACAGATATATGCGTAAATATTCCGTTAGACTGATACTAAAATTTAACGATCAGTTTTAACGCTTGATGACTATTTTCATAGTTCCAAGTCTCCCATATAACGATACGTTTAAAGCCGTTACTTAAATACCTTAAAGTCGTAAAAGTTGATATCACTACTAAGATCACGTTCAGTTCGAACTTATATATAATGATGTTATACTTATTATATTTCTCTATTTATTAATAGATTGTTATTATTTATTACATAAAAAGCAATCCTTTACTCCTGTACCGTAAATCGCGGCACTTAACAACGTCAGTTGTAATACAATCTCGCTTAAACAGAAAGCCTTCCCCTATCCCGCATTTAATAGGCTATTAAGCGTTTATAAAACTTGCAAGTTAACTATTTTATTCAACCTAAGTACGCGAGTTTTTATTGCCTTTTTTATACAGAAGTATATTGCTCCGAGTACCCTCTTCAGTTCCTTTCAGGGTTTTCTTTTATGTCATGGGATATTATGTCAACGCTTGGGACTGAGAGTCATTCTATTATCATGCTTTCATGTTATTGTATGAGTGATTTTTATATATTTATTTATACATCCATACATATCTGTTAAGTAAAGTGAGCCTTTTAAAAATAGTCATTCTTTTATTCATCAAAATTAATAATTATCCTTTACGTTCAATGCATTTAAATGTTAAATTTGAATATAAATGCAATATAAACATCGCTACTATCCCGAAAATGAAGTCACAGCAGACTTTAAGTAGTATAAGATTTGGAAGCGCAAAATGTAATAGCGAACACGGGCCGCAGTATTGCGTAATTACCGTAAAGGAAGTAGGCCGCTTGGACAAACAAAAACCCTGGCGACTCGATCAGCGGCTGAACAAAGCTAGTGTAATTTGAAACAATCGGTGGTGCAGAGGCGGCGGCCGGCGGCACCCCGTCGACTATTGATCTGTCGACGCCCGCCCCCAACCCTCGGCCACCGTGAGTCCTGACCCCCTCCCAACCCCCTCAAACCCCAACCCATCCCGCTCAGCGTACAACTCGTATTTTAATTGCAAATCTGCTAGATAATGCGCAAATAGATAACGCTATTATACTCGGCTCGCTTATTATTTAGTGCTATCGAATTACTTTGTTGTTTTTTTTTTCCTCCGTTTATTTTTAACTTTGTTTTAATAGGAAGCCGTGTGCTTTTGACACAATCGGTATCATATTAATTTTTCATTCAACGTGTACTTGCGATTTTAACTTTTAGAGAAGTTTCGTATATTTATATTTGTACATACAATTATCGATTATAATAATTGTATAGAAAAATGTATATATTTTTAATATAAAACATAAAATTTATTGAATACAATAGCGTTTTAACGAGTCTTTCAATGCTGTTCATTGTAATTTTCCTAGCTCAGTGGTTCATAGTGAACATAAAGCCGTAGTATCCGGTAATTATAGTTTACATAATATGATTATAATAGTTGACGCTGTTATGTTTAATAATTCTGAATTAATGTCACCGGTTACCCGGACCCCTGTTAGGGTTAAATGACGTGCGTAACGTGCTTTATACCAATAATACTAATCCTAGGCAATTGATTAAGCCTGCCTGCTCTAACAGATGTAAGTACTCCATACATCTCCCTGTAATTCTCAGCGGTATAATCTTATGTATGGAATTAATTATTGTTGTTTGGTTACAGTATTAGTGAACTTCGTACTTGTCGATCTATTAAGATTTTAATATATTCAATAATTTGTAATTATTATACAGTTAATATAGATAAGGATAATATCGTTTGAGGGGTAATTCAAAATTAATTGAAACTTGGATCTTGAAATATTAATTAATATTATTTCTTAGGAAAATTAACATTTTTATAGCCAAGCCTGGATAATATATTTTCATTTTATCCTCAACTGGCAGATTAATTACTATTGCTATTAATTACTTGTTGTAATATTATTTCAACACCATTAAGACGATATGAAGTAATTTGATAGAATTTAATAATTGAATATTGATCGCTGTAGAAATAAATAGTACAATAACTTTTATGTAACTCTGAAATGATCTATTGCAAAATGTAACTTTAATAACATTTTCGTTTCCTTTCTGTTTATCTCTTCTTATAATAGTAATGTGAAATTAATACGGAAAATATAAAATAATTCAAGCTTTTAATACCACCGCCAGCTTTTTACATAACAAATTAAATTTAAATTAGTGTGTTCCAGTCATCTTTGTAATATGTAATTGTATAATAACTTTATGAAAATAAATGAAATGTAGACCAATATATTGTTCGTCGTCTTTTTTATGATCTAATGCTTTGTATGCAAAAATTAAAAGTTAGCATTCCACATGGGTTGGTTTATTAATTTATAATAAATAAAATCTATAAAGATTTTAAAGCAAAAAAATATTTTAAAAGAATAAATCATATGCTTTAATTATGATCTTAATGTAATTGGATAGTCAAACAGTCTGAAAATAGGTTCATAAACAGTTCAATTAAAAGGACAAAGTTTGTCACAAGCGATTTCATGACTGTATCAAAGTAAGGAGACGTCTAGAGATCATTGTAATGTCAAGAGGTCGCTCATCCTTCGACCTTTCTTTTAAATACAGTCTGAGCTTACATCGAATAAGTTTATAATGTAATTTATGTTACAAAAAGAAATCCATATTAACTTAGTATATTCAGAGCTGTGTTTTGTAATGAACGTGATGTAGTATTATCAGTTATTTTAATATGAGCTTAAAATCAATTTCAGTAGCGACCGCTGAAACTACTAAGAAGAAAATGAAGAAGCGTTCTGGTTTCATACCTAACATCGGCGTGTCCCAAATGATGGTGCAAAGGGACAGACCCCTCAACGAGTTGAAGGTACGTACGATATTACGTATTCATAGCGCCGATAAGTTGAACCCTTGCCAAAACATAGCCCGCAGCCACACTTTTATTACTTACTACGCAAATAGACTATGAAAACGAAATTTTTCTTGGCAATTTGCTTTTAATTTTATGGGTTTTTGTAGATTTATTATTGAACGATTATTGGTTACGTCTGCGTGTAATTAAAATGAAAGTTTAAATTTTTCAGGCTGATAATGATCAGAAGCGTACTGCGTCTCCCGGGGCCATGTCACAACGTTCAGGCAATATGCAACCTTGCTTGCCGTATCAACAACAAAACATGATGAATATGGTACAGGATGAAGTTAAACAAGAAACCCTTGTACAAAGAAGTTCACATTACCTGACTGTCAGCAGTGGATGGATAACACAACACCCTGACAGTATGGAACAAGGACACAAACAGAATCAAATTATCGCAGGACCAGGAAATAATTCGGTGCATGTTGGCCTCCCAGTGTTAGGTACTAATGGACAAGTTATTGGAGTGAATACCTCATATAACAAACACGTTACGAGTATCAAGAATACTGTTAACCTTACACCGCAAAATGTAATGGAACATGAGCGCAAAGAAGATAAAGATATAAATGCCGGTAAGCAATCGGCGAAAGAAGACGACTCACAGATATTCTACGGTTTGAATCAGCCACTAACGCCCGAGGTAATGCAGAAGATTAATGAACAGCAGCAAATATTTATACAAAGAAACCAGAAACAAATCGAAGTAATGAAGGGCTATAAAACCCAAATGTCAGACAATGTAACTCCGAACAAACCTCATAACCAAAATCAGTATGTGCCTCAGAACCAGTTAGTTATACAAAATGGTACGGTAGTAAAAACAAATTCTGCAAAAACTCCACCGTGGCAAGTGAAGAGAGTCGATAATGCATCTAATTCCTTGATATGTCCCAGCCCTAAACAGCTAAAAATTGAGAATTCTGAATATGAAGATTCTAATCAAAATTCTATGGAAGATTCTTCGCCATCAGCTTCTTATACAAACAATGAACAAATAATGAACCCGGCTATGTGTTCCCGAGTTCCTCCTCTACCGCAGCATTACAATATGATGGGACAACAATGGCCAAATGTTGATAATAAAAAGAAAGCTAGATGTAATAGCAAAACGGCTAAAAAGAAAGCCGCAGCCAATGATCCTAAGAACATAAACTTTGGTAACAATGGATTAAGACATATGCAAGACGTTAAGGGCAAGCCTTGTGAGGAAATAATGCGAAATAATGTTCCTTCGTTCATGGAAGATCCTAGTGGCTATCTAGCACAACAAACAGTACTTTTGAATAACACTATATCAAGACAAGTCGGAGTTAATGTTCCATATGAAGCTAACCAGTTTGAGAACTCTGGAAATTCATATAACGCATTGAATCCAACGGACAAGAAAAATCTCCCGAAACAAAGTGAACCCATGAATGTTTTTAGAAATAATGTTGTAGCCAATTCAACACCTTCCCCAAACAACGCTCCTGATAGTAGTCTTATACCAGAGAAAGTCGTTGAAAATAATCTACAGTCATGCTGCAAGGGTTGCAATGTTTCATACAAAGGCAACTGTTCCGATACATCAGATAACCCGATGCGCTCAAAGTTATTAAAGCAACATACTAATGTGTATGGCCTCGAAATGGACAGTGGGGTGGCTACAACGTCTAGTCCTAAACATGGTTTCGATGAGAATCCAGTTACATCATCAACCTATATAGATCGTAGTATGATGCTGAATGATAATTGCGGTCCGATACAAGCGGGTATTGTTAGCACAAGCAATGTGTCACCAAGTGAGACTCTACAACAACCGGAGCCGTCACCCACATTGTCTAATAGTTCCCGTAATACGGACACGCCACATAGTAGTGGCAGTAATTCAATGCAAAACTGTACATTCCCTGTGCCTAGCCCGGCTTATTCCAATCCAGGTTCAAGCAGAGATAACTTTAATAGTAATCCTTCTACTCCAGGTAGTAATCAACCCTATCCATACAATACCGTAGGGCCACCCAATACTGAATCGGTATCCGGAAATCAGGTTATGCATTTCATATCAAATCACAATATCCACAAGAATCTAATGGAAGTGAATAACATATCAATGGTTGGTGTCAAACCAGGAATGAGGAACCAAGAATATAGAATGGATGGCAAGAAACGTATTGAAAATACAATGCCTGGTTATTGTCCGCCTCCACATTTAGGCGGGGGTCCAGCACATTCTCTTATACAAACTTGTTACATACAAACAATCGTTACGACTATGGCTAGCGGTTTTTCCGTTACAAGGGATACTGTAACATCAGTTCTAGCAGGAAAAGCTAATACAGCGACTACCTCTATAAATGCATCACAAGCAAATTTCATAAGAACTCCGCCGCCTCCAAGTGTCAATTTGGCGACGACCTATGCGATACCGAACAATCAGCCTGATCCCTTCATTAACTCTGTTAATTTGCCAACAAGTTATCCACTGCACATCGCGGGTACGACCGCTCAAAATATGATATCAAAATCGCCGTTGGAAATGGTGCAAAATGTTATAAGCAGTTTACCTTCCAAGCCGGAGGCGAGCAATTGCCAATCGACCATAGCGCAGAGAAGATCATGTTCCAACTCATCCGGTCAAATTCTTATTTCATCGACCGGCCAAATAATCGTCTCAAACAATCAAATGCCACCACCTCCTCCCAAAAATACAACCTCGATGTCACCAATTGGTTCCAACGCTATAACAAATGTGACCACTTCAGTTACTCAAGTGGTACCAGCTGTTGGTAATGTCCAACCGATTGTCAATCAACCGACTGTTGTGGTTAATACATTGCAAACTCCTTTCGTTATTCAACCTCCCATGATGACTGTTGAGGGGCAAGTTGTCCAACCAAATACCGTCCTCCCTCAAATAGTAACTGGAGGCATCGTGTCTGGACCTAACGAAATATCACGACAAATTGATATGAAGAATGGACAGAGTTTCGTTCAAGGTGTGGCCATGCTTTCTCCTGAAAGTTTAAAGAAGAGAAGTAAAAAGAAGAAAAACCAAACGGCTAATATAACAAATGTTCTGCAAATCACAGCACCGCAACAGAATCCGAACAATATTATGGTTCACTCTTCACCACAACATAATTCAAGTCCACAGTTTTCGCCACGCGGTTTTCAATTGTCGCCTACAAACAATATATCACCAACGCCGATGTTGCAAGCACTAACTATTGTGCCTGGGAAGTCTGGTACTCCAGCACATATCGTAATGAACGGACAAGGAAATTCAAATAACTTTGGATCTCAACAGATAATCACAAATACTTCACCATCACAACAAATTAACTTATTACAACCAGTCAATCTAATTAATAACGCTAGTAATGTAATGTCAAATTTCCCGGCGTTTCAACAATTTATTCTGCCAAATCTCGGCGGTATGGTAATGACAGCTGATGGCACAGCGATCATACAAGACAATTCAACAGGAATGCCTATGCAATTACAATTGCAAACCGTAAACGGACAGAACGTTTTAACACCTGTACAAAATCCTGGACTATTTACCGCCGGGAATAACAGCGGCGTTGTTATAAGGGCACAAAACCAGCAAGGAAAAATAATACAATCGCAACATAGCCCTGGTGCTCAATTTCTATCGCCGAATAGTCAAGTTATGGTCAACAGTCCCAACTTCAATGGTCAACTCAGTCCGTTACTTGCGAATCTTAGTCCAACAAATGTCGCGTTCAATAGTTCACAAGTGAGAGCGGGGAACGTCCAAACACAGGAGTTCATTCAAACGAATCAAATGGGCCAAACATTAATGGTGCCGTTATCCCCTAAACCAGTTCCCATATCCGCTAGTAACAGAAACTCCACTTTCGTCCAGAACACGACTATAGTACAACAACAGACAACACTAGTATCCAACTCTCATAATACTTCGATGAACATGAATAATACCTCTCGATTGAGCATAGATCCAAATGTTCTTCTTAATCAGAAGGTCGGGAAAAGATTTCCTCAGGAAAATCAGGAAATAAAGGAGAAGATTTTACCTTTTGATGTGAAGGAAGATAAAGAGGATAGCGAAGGTTACGCACGTTTAATGCAAGAGTTGGGTGGTGTAAGACATTCCGTATCGACTCAGACTTTGGGTCAAAGAGGGGGTAAATCCCCTAACACAGCCGGGGGTTCCCCGCCCGATACCACGACACACAGTCCGCTGGGAGCCTTAGATTCTGCTCCAAGCCCAAGATTGTATTCCGCAGCAACTCACGCTACATACGCCGATACAACAACCAAATCACCCGAACCCGCAGATGTACATTCTTCGGTGAGTGATTATATTGAATCTGACTTATTATTTCGACCACTAAAACGTTCGAAACTTTACATCTCGAAAACAGGCATTAACATTTTTAGTAGAATTAAAATTTAAGGTCTAATTTACGTTCAATCCTTTATCTAGAAAATAATACATTGAATTTTTTATGAAACTAAAAAAAATCTATTCTTCCAAAAATAAATATAACAAAATAGGTGATCTAATAAAATATTTTACAGTAAATATGATTCACATAAAAAAATGGAATAGAGATTGAAGCTTAAAGAGAGTAAAGAGATCAAGTAATTATTAATAAATAAAAATTCTATAATATAATTGAGGATTGTTTTAATATGATATTGTAATTGATTCCAGGCGATGGTGCAATGTGTGTCCAGCAGTGAACAAGACATGGCCGAGTCGAGGGAACGAGCGTGGCCCGTGAGGAACGAAGAAACAGACTCACACAGTACGTATTAAAATTCATAATAATCATACCCACTAGTCCCTACTAATATTATAAATGCTAAAGTAACTCTGTCTGTCTGTTACGCTTTCATGCTTAAACCACTAAACTGATTTTAATGAAATTTGGTAGAGATAGAGTTGACCTTGAGAAAGAACATTGGAAAGTTTTTATCCCAGACTTTTAAAAACTTCTCTTGGAAATGCGATATAATCGAACTCGACGCGGGCGGAAAGCTAGTTACATAATAAGTACATGATTGTGATACTATGTAGTAGGAAAATTTTTCTATTGTTTCGAGGTACAGACGTGTGCTTTTTTTTGTAAAACCAAATATTAATTTGTCTAATAAATTCATATCTCCTCTCCCATTATATTATTTAAGTTCCAGAACAACTATCAGTTAATTTATGAACAACCTTTTTATATGAATCGTAAAAGAATATGATAATAATGGTGTATTTAATATATCCTTCGTCTAGATGACTCATTCACGAAACTAATAAATTGCTTTTAATGTTCCAGATCTAATGTCAAACATACAGCTAATGAGATTAAATCGACACAACTCTGTAGAGTCGAGCGAAATGTATCACAGTATGGCTGCCAACCAACAAATGATGCAAATGCCGTACGAAAGACCTCACAGTTACAAACGGAAAAACGACTTCGGTGACGGTTCATCGTATAGGAATGACAAAATTATGAGAACAAATTACAACATGGTGCATGTGCCCAAAGAATATGATATGAGTCAAGAAAAACAGAGACGATTTTCGCCCGGCAGTTCAGAGAGTATGCAGAAAGTATTCGATAGACATTTAGGTTCAGAAGACGGTAAGTCTTACATTAATACGCTTGTCGCAGCTTCTATGGGAACGCTATTTATTAGCTTCTGACACATCATTTCTAACTATATCTCGAACTGAACTCTCTCGTGTAACATGTTCCCTAAGCTTAAACTAATATTTACAATACCATCTCACGCTTTATCCACAGCTAACAAAATTCAAAATTATTTTTTCTTATTAATTTCAATAATTCAATGTTGTGTCTTGTATTGGTTATGGATTGTATGAACACAAAATTGAATATAAATAATGCGGTACTGATGTGTATTGTGGTATATTTCAGCTTCATCATAATGCGATATTATTGGTCATTGGTTTTCTTTTGGTTGGGTTAATACAAGATACAGCTGTTTAGTATGGTGTAGTGGAAACTAATATGTCGCTTTCCATTGCACAATGTGATGTAACAAAATATATAAATAAATTGGCTCATACATTGGGACCTCATTACTAACGCATCATTGTAAAGTCATCATTTTCGTTCATTGTAAGTAAGCACATTTCTCATATAACTTGTATAACCTTCTACTGGCATTGGAAATATTTGTATATTATTTGTAATCCGTCGTTAAACTTGAAAAATGTACTCAAGTCTAAAACTATATAAAATATATTAAGTTGATCTCAAAGTATAACTACGGATAAAATAGTTATAAGACCTGTTAGTGATTTAGATAATGTTTGTAAATAAGATTATTATGATTTCCACAACCAGCAGCCTATATCTAAGTTTCCAAACAGTTTTTTGTGAAAACTATGTTTTTGTAAAATACTGTTCCTAATCACAAGCTTTTCTTAAAGTGTTCGCTCTCTTTGCTTATGCAATGAAATCTGGACTGTGTTAATATAATATTAAGATAACGGATGTACGATAATGTTAAAAAAATCATATTCACTAACTAATAAAATTCATCAAAGCACATTTTTTTGTAATATACCAATATAAAAAAATAGATTTAAATAAGTATCCGGGTGTAGATACAGAGGATAATTACCGGAGATTCGAAGTCGGCGATCTGGTATGGGGTCCGGTTAAAGGGTATGTCTCGTGGCCGGGCAAGTTGGTGTCCCGTGTATCGGACACCAGTTGGAGTGTCCGGTGGTTCGGTGGCAGGCCTGCCAGCGACGTGGAACACTCGAGACTGTTGACACTCTGCGAGGGTCTGGAGGCGCATCACGCGGCACGGATGAGACATAGGAAGTAGGTGGTCAGCTAATGGTTTGGATGGTTCAAACAGTTTGGTGGTTTGGATGGTTTGATAGTGTCATATTGATTCTGTAAGTCCTAATACTATGTGAGCCGGGCTTCAAATCCATGGTTCATTGCATTTGAAATGTTTTGATGGTTATGATTGAATCTTTTTAAATTTTGTAAGTTCTTACACTGGAGTGACGCTAATGAAATGCTGTAATATTTTATTGTACTCGAGGTTACGCTTTTGAAGTTTTTTGTTTGTTACAAATGAATACAAAATCTCAATTCGAAACTGTAACCTCATGTTGTGCTTATAATACATAAGTTTGTCAACTGTTGTTTAATATAAGAAGTTTCTGTACAGAATCGGTCCAAATAAATATAAAGTATGAACATTACGCTTAAGTCTAGTTCAGGATAAAAATATTAGATGTTAGCCGTTATTGAATTAACCCAACCCAAAGTTAGACCCATTGCATAAATTTACGCCTGCAAATATAGTATAGTTAAAAAAAATGCTTAAGCAAATTTAACTGAAACTAAATTTTGCTATATTATTATGTACAGGAGCAGAAAACTAAACACGCTATTAGAGAACGCTATACAAGAAGCAATGGCTGACTTAGATAAGAAGACGGAAAATAACGAGGATGATTTACAAGAGGATGTATCAGATGTAACGGACACTACTAAAAGGAAAACAACAAAACTTAAGAAACACAAGAAGAACCCAACCAAAGTCGACGGAACCCGTTTGAGGAGCTCGCGATGACGTCATAATGTTCGTTAAAATTCAATTCTACCCGCAACGGTGGTACGAAACAATTAAATGCATTGAAATTAAGCAAACCGTTCTAATGTACAGTTACGTGCTTTGAAATAAGGATTGCAGTTTTTTTATAACAATTAACATAATAGATTCGTATGAAATAGTTAAATTTAATCCATTATTAATATACCCGAATGCCTAATATCAGTAGTGTTTAAAATAATGTAACATCTCTTATCGAGGTTCCTAATTCCAGGAGAGCTGTTCTCTGTAAATATTTCATATTTCGATGTTTTATAATAATAATAATAAATAAAAAAATATTAAAATTAAATTAATGGAAATTTTAGCAGCTAGATAGTAGACGTGATTGAATCACTTTAGTTAAGTTACAGATCGTAAGTTTTAATCGTCGTTCTGAGATTCTTATTAATGCTAAATGTTTCCTAATTTAAACTATGAAATTCGCTGTCCCTGTACATAGTAGAGGGGCAGCCTTTATAATTTAAAAGAGAAACAATAAAAATTATATTGCTTTTAAAACTACCCACGAAATTTATGTAATGATAACATTCTATCTCTTTCCTTTTGGCGGCGATGAAAAGGGATGGCTCATAGGTTTTATTGGGCCCCGTCGGGTTTTTTATAACAATTTTCATCGACATTTTGTACAATTTTAACGATTTAAATGTAAATTAATAAGAGTGTGCTATATATATCGTGTACATTACAATTTTTTTTGTTTGTTTGTTAGAAAATAACATGATTTCTAGTCAAAATATTGAGCATATTAAATTGTAGATATTGCGGATGGAGATAATTGACAATAAAACGGGCCTGGCGACCTACTTTACATAAATAAATGCAGTATTTATTTACTTTCTAACAGTATAATTGTTTGCTGTAATATAATTATTTTTAAAGACTCAATAGTTTTAAGGTGATCGATGGAACGCGAGGCGACTGGCTTCAGATTCATAACAGTACGTACATGTATGTCATTTGTGTACTTAATGTATTTGAGTGTTCCATTATGACGCTTTGAAGGCAGAGAGGGGGTAAGGAGACAATATTATATATAATCTACTAGTCCCTCGATCCACAGCCGTATTCCGAGTCGCAGAATTAAAATATATTTTGATGTAAGCTATATATATGTATATTTTTTTTTGTTAAAAAGAAGTTATTATTTTAAAACATTTTATTCTTACTAAATATAATATTTATACTATAATTTAGGCCTATATTGTTAGTGTATTTAGTTTCCATGACATTTGTAAAAAAAAAGAAAAATAACAAGGCCATAAATGTCATCGAATATCAACAAAGGTTTTATATAATTGTGATAAACGAAAAGGGATTAGAACAATCGAGATTTATGTTTACAAATTAAGCTGATATAACGACGGCATCACATATGATTAATTTTACACGAACAAGGGATTCGGAATATATTGATACATTTTTAAAATGCTTTTTTTTAAATCAATATATAAACATCACAATACAGTATAGTTAATAAATGTTTTTTCTTATAGTAGCTAGATTATTAGATCATGTTTCATGATTGTTTGGTAGTCAATTTGTTATCAGCGATCATTGTTAGATGTCGGTGTAATTCATTTATATGGAGCCCGCGATGTACCGGGCCACGGCTTACTGTTATAAATATTTACAATATAAAGTAGTCCCATCTATTGATTTCGTCGTATCCGATATATAATGTGAAATTTTAACGCGATATTGTTTATTGTGAAGTCGGATTTATCGACGGGACGGTATTATGTAAATATTCGTATAATTGTAGTTATGTATAGTATTCTATTTCAATGAAATTAATGTTTTATAGACTAATACATGTACAACATAAGATTATTTATTTGTTTTGCTGTGTACATATTTTTTTTTTCAATAAAATGTACCTGTTTTTAATTTATGATTTGTATTTTCATTCCTATCGTTTTAGTCGTTATGATATAAACATTTTAATCAAAAGTCATTTCTTGGACAGTTCTCAGTCTGAGTGATTGACAGTTTTTTCAAATAACTTAAAAAAATATTTACTATAAATATAAAAATTAAAAATATTGACCACATTCGAGCTGTCGTTATTAAAAGAAATGATATTTGGATAGAACACTGCATTAAATTTGAGTTTGGACACCATATTATAACTATTAAAACATAATTTACCTACTTTTATTAAAGGAAGAATACGGTGATTAAAAACTTAGTGATTTTGATGATCTCATTTTCATACATATTGTTACAATTGGCGCCATCTGTGTCGTACTAATTTGAATACTGAGCCATTGTAATTTAGTAGTGACAACATTTAATTATCAATTTGTTTTTAAAAACTATAAATGGTAGCTTCAGCCATTTTAAGGACATAAAAGGAAGTAAAGCTTAACATTAACAAAGCAAGACTGAAACTATACCTGGAACAATATCTTCTTTTATCATGGATATATAATATATTAAAATTAATGTAAAAAATTTATAATATGTATTGTAAAAATTTCATTGATATGATAAGAGTAATTTTTTATTTTCTCATCACCTCTACAACAACTTCATGTTGTCAAACTAAAGAGACAATTTCCAGTTTTATATTTAATTATATATAATTTTAACTACCTGTTTTTAATTCAACAATACAGACTTGTGGTAGGGGAATGATCCTATTTCTGTGTCATAATCAAAAAGATACGTAACTTTTTTGCGGGACTTAATTAAAAGATAAGTAGTCATACAGATTTTATTTCAATGTGATTTGATACTATTAAACATTCTCATGCTGCATACATATTGATTTATTCATACTAATAATCTTTAAATAACGTAATGAGTTCTCTGATTAAACGTCCCTCAGAATTGAACCCATATGTCACCTATTTTGTAATTAACTTTATTATCTTCTTAACGATCTTGACAGTCGATTAAAAGGGGTATATAACGATAATTATCATACGAGACTAATGTTTTGTAAGGATTGGGAGGCTCGTGTAGCGAATGGCACTATTATCTACGTTTATTATATAGGTTTAATAACGTAATTTTAAGTAATTGCTTCTATTTTATAATATTAATGTCCATTTTATTTAAGTGATAGGTATTTAAAATGAAGATGAAGATTGAAAAACTGCTAGAATTAATAGCAATGTTTTTTGTGTAATGTATTTTGATATCATATTATGGCTTGTGCTTTCCGACCTCGAAGTCCAATCCGGAACACTGTATAATATCAATAGGGAAGGTATATGTTATATCTTTTCTCTGAATAAAATTATAAATGTATGATATATTACAATATAGATTTCAACATGTTGTGTTGGAGTTCCTAATTTAATAATTTCTTTTGACCTATACTCCAACGTATTGCTACATTATTATTGAGATAAGAAATATTAAAAGTGACTCACTACTTTTTCAACAGACGTAACTTCGCTTACCTACCACCATACTTTCCAATACTTATTTCATTAAATAACCTGGGGTTTTTGATCTTTCCGGAATATAATAAAAACAAAATGTCCCTAGCAGTTATGATATAAGTACCTACCTACTACCTTTTTTTTTTAAGGGGAAAATCATCAAATGACCCCTCTTGCCTGGGTGGGGCAAGAGGAAGTGTCAGACTCTTATTGACTAAAAACCCCCCGTACCTACTCCTGCTCTTAGCCTGGCCGCGGTACATTATTGCGCTTACACCCGCGACCTGGCCAGGCATCGGCTCTAGGGCCCCATCTGTGATGGTCCGATGGCTCTTTGAGGCGCGCGCGGTACGCTACGCGCCGTACGCTCGGGTCTGGTTCTGATCGGGCGGCAAGCTACCCTTGCTTGCCGTCCGCAGACCCGCGCTTACGGTGGCTGGAGATCATCTCGGGATCCCCAACGCCTGGAGCTCCCCCTGCGGCGGCTGGGGCGAGAGGAGGATCGTTCCCTCCTACCTACCTACCTAGGATATGATCTAGTGTTAGTATTTTCCTGAATTCTTTTCATTGTTCACATTTTCCATCTTGTTCTATTGATATGAGACTTTAAACAATACCCCTAGCTGTCCATTTTTTAATTTAAACGTTAATTGAGATTTTACTGCAAAAATGTTTAAGAAAATATTTCAAACCTAAATTCAAGCAGTTTGGGTTTAAAATATAGTATGAAAACCTTAGTGACCACATTTTTTTAATTAGTCAATGTAAATTTATCACAAATTTAAAATTTATATATTTTATGATATATACCAAATGTCAAGGGTCAAAATAAGTGACATCAAATTGGATATCATTCGAGCATTTATAACATTAATTTGTCCTTGGCCATTGAGGTTAAATAATAACGACTGTATAATCTAACTTCTGGTATGTATGTTACAACATCTTGATCGCCAATGGCTCTTGGCCAGCTGCTTAACAGGTTGCTAATTATATTTTAAGCGACACGGTCACTAATAACTACGATCACTAATTACGATGTTACCTCAGAGATGACAACCACATTCTTTGAATGATGATTGGAAAAGTGGTCGCAATCAGATGGAAAATTAATTTTAGGACACTATAATGCAATATCTACATTAAACGGTAACAGTTTTTTTATTACTAATACTATTGAAATGAAAGAAGAAAATTAGGGCTTACATACTTTTGAAAACGAAAATTAAACTAAAAGCAAAGAAATTATAAAATACACAAACATAATAAACGTATCAAAATTCCAATAATACATAATATTTATGAAACACTTCAAACCCACGAGAAACTCTATCAACGAGTAGTCCGGAGTGAATCGCAATATAAAATAGTACTTACATAAGAATACTAAGCATTTTTGCATAAAACTCGAAAAGTCATAACATAGAGGATAATATTATTATGTTATTGAGATTGATTTAAATTATACGGAAAGTTTCGTTCTTCTTGAAGTTTCCGTTTCTAATAGGACATTCTGTTCTGTTTTTGCTCATCGGGAATGTTCAAAAAATTTCATGGTAGTATTTA